GAAGCGCAGAAGCGTTTACAGCGCCCAACAGGGAAGTATGAAAAGTTCATACTTGCCTTTATGACTCGTACATTAAGGGCGTAAAAGCCTGAAGGGTCATAGGTTCTGTCAAGTTACATTAAGTGAGAGAATGATGAGTGTGTGGGGGGAAAGTTCCCGGTACATTTTATCTGTTTATGGCAAAGAGTGGCAGGTCCTTAATAATGTCAAATGCCAGGCCTGTGACTAGGAGGAGGGATATCTGGTCTGGGAGGAAAGAGGTGTTGGTAACGGCTGGGGACCTATAGGAGGAGGTCATAGGGCAAGTGAGGATGTAGTGAGAGAGGGTGTGAGAGTCGGGTTGGCCACAAAGTTTACAAACAGTGCGGTGAGGCTCAGGGTTGCCAATGTACTCCCATAGGTACCTGTACCCTAGGCGCAGTCTCATGTTTATAAGCTGTTGAGATCGAGTCAGGGATTGATATTCTTTGTAGTGGCGGTTGTCGTCACCGGTTACAGCTAGTGGCATAGTGTGACGCAACCCCGTTGTTTCAGGTGTGTCCAATTTTCGTTGAATGCCTCTCGTTGTGTGGCGTGTATGCGAGATTTGAGATGATTCAGGGAGAGGGCGAGAGTGGCTTTAGTATCTTCTTCTTAACACCTTCTTGTGTGGTGCTCCTCCAAGTGTTACGGTGTGGAGTAATCGTCTCTCAGGTGAGGGGGTCGATTTGGCACTTTTTCAGGTTTGCCTTAAGACTATCCTTGTACCTTTTCAGTTGCCCGCCAGCGTTACGTTTACTATTCATTAGGTGACTGTAAAGTAGCTGCTTTGGCAGTCTACTGTCATCCATGAGGGTAACATGGCCAGTCCAGCATAGTTGCTCATGGATAATGGTAGCCTCGATGCTCCTACAGTTGGTGTCAGCAAGAATACTGGCATTTGTTCTCTTGTTTTCCCAGCGAACTTGGAGGATAGAATGTAGACTACATTGGTGAAAATTTTCAAGTGCCATGAGGTGCCTCCTGTATGTAACCCATGTCTCACTGCCATATAGCAGGGTGGGGGAGGATCACTGCTCGATTTACGTGTAACTCTGTAGATAATTTCGGCTCCCTACAACTGAAGACACGGCTACAGAGTCTACCAAAGGCTTGAGATGCACATCTGATCCTATGCAGAATCTCTTCATCGATATCGGCGGTGGTGGACAGGTGGGAGCCGAGATACAGAAAGTGGATAACACTAGAGAGGGTAGTACCGTTAAGCTGCATGGATGGTGGAGGTGTGTCTGAACCAGGGGCAGAGACTGAGTCTTACATACATTCACCTCAAGGCCGAAGTGTGCATGTGCATCTGCATAGGTGTTCAGGATCTCCTGTAGGTCGTGTTCAGTGTGAGCGACAAGGGTGAGGTTGTCTGCATACTGAAGCTCGGTAATGGAAGCTGCCGGCACCATTGTTCCTGCCTGGAGTCATCTTATGTTGAAAAGACCTTTCATCCGGTACTCGATGTCCACCCTGCCTGCTAAATTGGCATGGGCATGAGTAAGGAAGGCAGCCAAGGAAATGGAAAAGAGGGTTTGTGCCAGTACACCCCCTTGTTTAACCCCCATTTGGATGGAGAAGAACTTAAACTAGGTGCTATTGTGCAGGACACTGCCGTTCATGCCATCGTGGAGTTGCCTCACAATGGCGATGAATTTTGGTGGGCAGCCAAAATGGCTGTTGACCGATTCGAAGGCCTTGGTTAGGTCGATGAAAGCCATGTAACGGTAACGACGCTGTTCTCTGCACGTTTCCTGTATCTGGCAGGCAGCAAAGATCATGTCAGTGGTGCTACATGATGTTCTAAAGCCACATTGAGATTCTGGGAGGAAGTTTTCTGCCTCAAGAAGAAGTCTGTTTAGGAGGACGAGGGCGATAATCTATCCGGCTACCGACCAACAGCAGCGAGATTCCGCAGTAGTTGCCACAATCTGACTGGTCTCCCTTATTCTTATAAATATTGATGATGGACGCATCCTTAAGGACTTGGGGGATTCCTCCCTTCCCCATATATTCTCCAGGAGAGAGTGGAGACGGCTGGTAAGCAAAGGTCCTCCCGCTTTATACACCTCGGCTAGGATTCCATCAGGCCCTGAGGCTATAATTTTCATCTGTTTGATGGCAGTAGCTACCTCATCCAGGGATGGAATGATAGCTGAAGTGGGTTAGCTCTGGATGCTGAGGGACCTGTTGGGTAGTCAGGACATCCACATCGGTGTTTCAGTTGAGCAATGAATGGTAGTGCTCTTTCCAGCGCTGAAGGAATGCCTTCGTCATCTTTGATTAGGGAGCTACCGTCGGAGGAGTGAACGGGGGCTGCACCACGAGTCATTGGTCCATAAAATGTTTTAGTGGAATTGAACAATTCGCGCATCTTGTGCTGATCTGCAAATTTTTGTGTTTCACATGCTCTATTTTTAAACCAGTCGCTCTTTAGATTGTCAAGTTCGTGCTAGGCCACTGCTTTCTTCTTGTGGAAGGTATCAGCTTTGTCCGAGTAGCATTTTCATCAAACCAGTCCTGGTGTATTCTTTCGATCTGGCCGAGGGTCTCTCTGCAGGTTTTTATCATGACAGTGTTGAGAGTATCCCATTTGGCGCTGAGATTTGTGTTGTTTGGGTTGTTTATCAGCCCCTGTTCGAGCTGCTCTCTGAAAGCATGTGCTACCGCTGGATCCTCCAGACACTTACTGTTAAAACCTCTTCTGGAGGCGTGCTGCCTTCGCCGTTGTGGGGCAACAAAGTGAGAAATAGGATCTGACGAGTCAATGATCAGTGTGTCACAGTGGTCTGAGCCACGCATGGCTCTAGTGATGAGGAAATCTCGTAGATCTCCTACTCTGACAATGATGTAGTCAATGAGTTGCCAGTGCTTGGATCATGGGTGTTGCCACGAATCCTTGAACTTGTCGGCCTGACTAAACAAGGTATTGGTGATAGTGAGGTTGTGTGCAGCATATTTGCTGAGGAGGTGTAGGCCGTCGGGATTACACTTGCCTAGTCATTTCTCCCTATGGTTCCCTGCCAAATGTCAGCATCTCTGGCATTGAAGTCACCAAGGAGCACAACCTTATTTTCTCTAGGGATAGAGGTGAGCACTCTGTCGAGGTAGGCATAAAAGGTTTCCTTGATGCCATCCTCTGCATCCAGTATTGGGCGTATGCACTGATGAAAAAGGCAAGACATGAGTGATTCAGTGGGAGTCGGAGCGTCATGAGGTGCTCGTTGATCCCATTAGGCATTTCAGTTAGCCTGTGTAGGATGCATTGGCGGATGGCAAAGCCAACTCCATAAATGCAGTTTCTCTCCACAGCAGGCTTACCCTTCCAGAAGAAGGTATAGCCAGACCCCCGTTCTGTGAGTAGACCCTCTCTGTGAGTTGGGACTCACTAATGGCTGCTGTGTCAATGTTATAACTAGCCAGCTCTTTTGCACAATGATGGTTCTTCTTTCAGGACGCTCATTTGTGCCAGTATCCAGAAGGGTTCTGACATTCCATGCAGCGACCATAAGAGGTTGTATAGTTTGTTTGGTTTGGATCTGTGATTATAATAATTATGATTGTGTTTTCGACCGCAGAAGGATGACCTTACAGGGTGCAGTTGCTCGGTCAGGTTGGTTTCTTAGGCAGGCTATGTTTAGGGCACCTTTTCCAGCACCCTCCCCATGTGGGGTGAGCAGAGTGGCTTCTCGGATTGCACTGCTGTCTAGATCCCAGTGCATAAACGACCACCTTATCTGTGCCGCCCATGTGTAGAGTTGTGAGAAGAGACTTCCGGCAGTCACCTCTGCCTGTCCCTGTCGCCACTCGTCCGTCACCATAGGACTTTTGGGGGTAAAGGGAATTTGATGATGATGAGAGGTATGATGAACTGGATGATGGCTGCGCGCGAGTTGATTTATGTGATGAGGCAGGAGCGCAGGCTGCAACCACACACCTTGGCTCTCCATTTTCCTGATCCAGTGGTGCAAGTGTTGCAACAACTGGGGAGAGGGAGAGTTTCAATGAACTGCCGATAGCCCAGTTTGTTGGGTTTCGCCTGAGTAGCCTGTCCATCATGCATTGCCTTCATCCGCTGGTGTAGTCGTTGGGTTCCCATGGTGGTCACATCTTCCACCTATACGTCGTTGGAGTCTTGTTGGAGCTCTGTAAGCATGTCTGCCTGATGCGGGGCTCCACCGCAGATTTTTCGTTTTGGGTTTACTCCTGTAGCCTTATACCTCCCAAGGATAATCGGCAAGGCAGCAGGGCAATGGTTGGTAGACGCCAGGACGTGTCCACATGCCTGTGGGCGTATGCACCGTCTCTCTGGGGCCCACTGCTACTCCGAGGTCTCCTGCTGGTCTAGCCTAGGCCCACGAGGCACCCAGTTTCCGTGTGTTGCCACGAGGAGGCACAGCAGGAGTCTTGACGGTGAAGAGGCTGTGTACTGGCAGGGGAAGACTTATGCAAGTTGCTAGCCAGTGGTGGTAGCTGAAAACGAGACGAAGCAAGCAGTGCTTGCACCTTAACACTAACATAATACTGCCACACTAGATGCATTTCACCACCCTGTGTGCGAACGCACACACACACACACAGACACATTACTAACAACATATAAACACCATTACTCAACCACCAACCACAAAATAACAATACAAGTACTAATTAACTTAATAAACCTTAGTTACTTACTCAGTGACTTAAATCATCGTCGAATTGATTCAGTGTTCAAGATCTGATTCAGTAGTGACGCCATTAGTGGGCGGGATTAATAAACGAGATGTTTGGACCATCAATTAGTTGTTCTGTTTGTTTGTAATTGTTATTTATATGGCATTAGACGATGATGAGCCCCATTCCCTAGAAATATTTGCTTTTGTGTTATTTTTTAAACCATTGAGTTTTCTTTGATAAACTATGTTTTTCCCATAATTCTTAAAGATACAATGGATATATCACCCGTCACTAACCACAAACTATTGTTCCCACAGACACCAAACCCCGGGTGAAGGACCACTACCGTTCCCACCAACTGAGTTTCTGGCTACAGCTGGTACCTCAACTTCACCGAGCTGGGAAGGACGCCCCTGATGATCACCACCACCTCGAGAACCATAACGACTGGAACTCCTACCGGGGCTTCGTCAGGTCCGAGCCAGTCACCAGGTACCGGGGTCGGGGCGTGGCGGGTTGCATGGCTTGTGGGACGGTGTTACAGTGTGACACTGAACAGTGTTTCAGGGAAAGCCAACTGTAAGCACCACCTGTACGTGCATTCTACACCTGTACTGTGATGCCATTCTTATAGTATATCCTAAATACAGACTACTCGAACGTGAATTAACCCAGCACGAGTAATTTTTCTGTTGTCTTTCCAAATTTAGGTTAATTGGCAGATATTAAATTCAGATTAACGTAGTTTAGTAAATGTATCTCAGCACAACAAAATTAGACTAGGTTAGCACAGCAAAAATTAACCAACAGCACAGAGAAAGTTAACCGAACTTCTAGGACATGTAGCACAGTTTTACTTAATATAGTGTTGCTTCACCCAGTCCTACGAACAGCGTTTGAAAGATGCTGTCACACTTACTCCCTGACCGCCACCAAGCCACCGCCGTCATACGGAACCTGTCAATGTGTGAGGAGCCTGACTTGGCTTGTTCCCTCACTAACCCATCCGTCCTGTGCTTTTCCCTAACATTTATGTCTCGACCTCCTACTCCTCTGTTTCTCACCTATGTATTGTTCCTATGTTTCACCTTTACACCTCTGTCCCTATCCTTTATACATCTGTCCCTCCTTAAATATAGAATAAATATGTGTGAATATAAAGCATATTGTACAGTACAGTCATCTGTGTAACACATCTGTGTCATTGTAGACTTAAAGTCTAAAATTTGCAAATATATGTACGCTATGCATGTAAAGAAGAAAATTTTAGTATTGTATATAGCACTGTATAGCACCTTATATGTTAATGTAGTTAAATCCAGGAGCATTAGGTTTAGAATTAGAGTTTGTCTCACCGGTTAGTTATTTTATGAGTGCTGTGGTTGTGAGACTTGCCAATAACCAGAATATCTTCCTCAGAGTCATCTTGCCGCCGGAGACGACAACTGAGGCGACGACAACGCGGCAATACAATGTTTCAGCAGTACTGCAGTCAACTCCGGCCAGTGCAGAAGGCAGCAATGGGACAGGATTGCATTCACACGCCTCCCTCAGCGACGGCTTTGCTGCTTATTCCACGGCGCTCTCTGTTACCATTGCCATTGGGTGTTCACTCCTTATCCTCAATGTGCTCATCTTTGCGGGGGTTTACTACCAGCGGGACAAGTCACGTATGGAGGCGAAGAAAGTGGCAGAGAACGGCGGGTTGTTGGCGCCAGCCCATAGCATCAGTGGAGACGTGCACACCCCGCCAACACCCAGCCTATCCGTCAAGGCAGAGGTGGCTGCCCGTATGGGGTCGGCAGGCATGAAGGCTCCCCCACCCACGCCCATGACTCAGACCACACACCTGCCACCACCAGAGTTCGCCGACTATCCCAGCCAGACAGCGCATTATGGCACAGCCCACGGGGTATCGCACCTGCACACTCTGCCCCGCGGCACCATGGCTAAAGTAGTCGCCTGCGAGAGCCAGAATCAACAGGGAGGCGGCAGCCTTACCCTTTCCGTGCCGCGGGCCCCGCCTCCCCCTCAAGTACCCTGCCATGGCTCAGAGGCTCAACCATTACTGAAACAGACGTCCTTTACTCTCACTTCACCCCATACTTCCACCTCTTCCTCTAAGAGCCCAACTAAAGACTCTAACGTAGGTGAGCTACGAGTATAGCGTTACCAACAAGGCTCCCTAGCAAAGTCCCCTCCCCGCCCCTCCCGTGTCCACAAGCTCAGCCCGTGTAGACGCTCCACAACCCTCGCTTTAAGGTAGTTCTCCTGCATATTACCATCACTAGTACATGTTTTCATTTATACAGGCTTCAGATCTATGTGATGATACGTGACAAATAACTCAATAGGGTAGACTTACTAGACTCACTATGTCCACCCTCAGTGCAATGCTCCACTGCTGCTCAAATACCTAAGTCATCCCAGCGTCACAAGACTCACCGCCAGTGATTCAACAGCACCAAACTAAGAAGCAGTAACCACCGTGCTGTGGGGTTTCAATTATAAGAAAAAAAAATGCTGTCTTACAAAAGATGGTGGATTTAAACGAACGTTCTTGATGCAGTGAATCCAGAGTGGTTATCCTACTAAGCAGTGAGAGTATCAGGAAACAATGAGAAACATAAGTCGATAACGTTGTGGAAAATAGTAAATAATTGCCTCTTGTTATGGGTTGAATAATAGAAGTTACAGACTGTTAAAGCTGTAAAAGAATCTGGATTTTGGCGAACATTGTCAACGCACATAACACGTGACTCCTCAATGATCATTATAAATTGAGAGGGTTAAAAAAAACTGATCAGAGTTACGTGGGCACAGCAGGCAAACACAGCTAAGGCAAAGACTGTAGAGCCACTGCGCCATCTCAGCCTCAGCTAGTCGAGGTGTCCAAAACCCTGTAATCTACTCTAGCTTGGTGAAATTTGCTCTGTGAATAGTGAGACCAAACTACGTAGATGTACAAGTATGAACAATCGGTGAACGAATTCCGAAGTTATTGTGCTTTTAGGTATTTGAAAAGACATTTATATTGTTACTTACGTTGAAGCTTGTATGACACAGGTTACTTGTAAATACACGGGAAGCCTTGTTCATACAGGGCAGTCGTGTAACGTTGCCAAGTGCAGTGGTGAGCTTGAATGCAGTCAGCTGCATCGAATGTGAAAGTTAACATTTTTACTCTTTTAATGGATACTGTAAAATAGATTCATAACGTGTGAGTGAGAGATCGTGTAAGGTCAACTGCTTTGCTTAACAATCCTGAACAATTGGTGCAGATGTGCAGTCTTCATTATTAATTTAAGTGTTCTTTATGATGGTTTTGTAAGTGTTCTAATTTAGCCTTTTTTTATACTGCATTGTTAATGTGATCAGCTGCTTTGACACTTTCGCAGAGTCGTGCAGTCAATCAAATGCTCGATAGACGTAAGGTGGTCAGCGTCGCCCCCTCTTACATAATACCCTGACCATGGTATAAAGTAAACTTTGACTCGCCCAGAACCTCCTAATTTTTAAAGTTTGAGATTAAAGAAGAAGTGTACTTTCCTTTAATGCTAGTTTACTAGTCACAGTCTCACACATACTGTACATTTGAGAGAATTGTATAACATCAAAAGTTATTTTGTGTTGTAAATAACGACTCATTTTACCTAACTAACTGCCTGAGACTTAAAGTGGCTGATCATGTTACGTCACAACTTTATGAAACCTGAATTCTGAAAGCCCATCTAAGTGCGCGTGTGTGCGCGTGTGTGTGTGTGCGCGTGTGTGTGTGTGTGTGTGTGCGCGTGCGCGTGTGTGTGTGTGTGTGTGTGCGCGTGTGTGTGTGTGTGTGTGTGCGCGTGTGTGTGTGCGCGCGTGTGTGTGTGTGTGTGTGTGTGTGTGTGTGTGTGCGTGCACGTACACGTGCGTGTACGTGCGTGCGTGCGTACATATGTGTGCGTGTTTCACGAGAGCACACTTGACGCCCAGTGGTCCAAGATCAGTGTCAACCTGTTGCTGCTGTTACGTGTGATAATTCCTGGTCATGTCATATGAGATATTGACCGATGGTTATTTATCTTATCTCATGATCATTCATTCATACACTGTGTAAGCTGTTCATGTGCTACCTTGTACTAAAATACCAGTCATCTATAGGAACTCCTTATGTACATAGAAGTTTACAGAAACAGCTTAACTGTGGAAAACATCACTTCAAAACCCATGACGGGAGTTAACACGAGAGCTGCCGTGCTAAAGGTGGGCTTCCTTGCAGACCCTGCAGCGTACTAGTCCCGTCTAAATAGCTGACGAGGAACTGAACCGTTAACGCTTTTCTATTGTTCTTTTTTTTATTTTTTATTTTTTATAATCCCCTAAGAAAATAAAGGAACACTTCTGGTGTGTGGTTGAGTATGTTTGTCTGATATTTTCATGACGAGCCATTTGTACTGCCACTTTCGTTATTGTAGACGCGATCCTGATTGTGAGGGGCGCGCCTGGTCACCTTCCCTGTAGGCAGACTCAGCTCAGTCAGGTTTCACAAGTGTTGTGTATTTGATGAATTAGTTAATTTATATAGAACTTTACATACAGAGATTCAGTGTAAATAACATATTGAAGCATTTCATTGGTTGTCGCAAGAATTGTGTTGAGTATGAGCATCAAGACGATGAGTACTGTACTTTATATTCTTGGCTTCGACCAAGTGAGCTGAGTCGCTGTGTCAGGTATGGTTGTGTATATAAAGGGTTTTAATGTGTTACCTGACTGTGTGTGGAGAGCAATGTGGTTTAACACACACACACACACACACACACACTCACACTACTACTACTACTACTACTACTACTACTACTACTACTACTACTACTACTACTACTTACTACTACTACTACTACTTACTACTACTACTACTACTTACTACTACTACTACTTACTACTGCTACTACTTACTACTACTACTACTTACTACTACTACTACTTACTACTACTACTGCTACTACTACTACTACTTACTACTACTTTTTTTTAAATTAAGTGGCCTCCAGCCTCCCCCAATAGCCACACCTTCGCCACCATTTATTTACCTTAATATTAAATATCCTAATACATATGAAACTATCCTAACTGTGCTAAATTAGTTGAGCCGCAGATCTATGCGGCATTCAGTGACTGTAGCCTCATAGTCAATATCTGCAGCTGTTGTCGGAGTAGGGGCAGAAGCTCTCGTTCCCCTGAGGCAGAGCAAAGCCGACCGAAGGAGAGAGAAGGACAGTCGACATCTCATCCAGGCTGTAACATAACTTCTGGGCTGCTGCTTCTGTTCGGAGATCAACTCCGCGAGTCTGGCGTAGAAACATCTTGCACTTGGGCCCATCCCACCAGAGGTTGTGAACACTAGAGGAGTGAAGCTGCCTTGATCAACATTTTGAATTCTCTCCCTATATGCGCTTCTCTTGTCGTTCTCGTTCCTCCTGTGTGCAGCATCGAGAGCTAGGTTATGGTGACATGCTGCCATGGGATCAAAATTCCTGATGTCGAAGAAAGCTCGCTGTCCCCGCGTCCAAAATCCTCGAGCACTGACGTCCACACGGGCGTCGTTAGATGTGTTTGAAGTCCTGTGTTGGAAGATCTCGCCATCCAATGGAAGGAGGGTCGTTCTACCATGACATCCCGGCAGATTTCCTTCAACATATTTGCTGTGAGATCCTTTACCTCGTCATGCCTCATGCATATGAAGGCCCCCTTCTTGCACACCATGGCGTGATCGCCATCATAGGAAGAGCCACACACGCATTGGGAGGGCAAACCTTCTACTGGCCGACTGTAACTTAGAGCAATGGCATCTGTAAATTCTTGTTTATTAAGACTGAAACCATTTGCCCTTATCGGTAACGTAGTTAACCAGTTCGAGGCACCCACCTCCTGCGCTATAGCTACTTTTTTTTTCAAATTTTCTGGTACCTGCAGCAACAGTTGCTGCAACTTATCATTTTGGCAGTGATGTCGATCTGTCGTAATGGACCTACGAATCTTATTTACTTCACTGGTATCCACCTCCCCTGTTGCATTCTGGACTATTATGTGGTCCGTACCGTGAGCTTAAGTGAATTTTAATGTTCGGTGACAGCAATCTCCTCTGGATTTGTTAGTCCCATCCCTCCCAGTCTTGGTGGAAGTGCAAGAAGTGCTCTTTCTTTCTGTTGGGGTTAAGTCAGGGTGTTTCACTAATTTGGGAATGAACTTGACACTGATAGCTTCTTCCAGAGGGTGGAGGAGGGGTCCGATATCAGGGATAGTACGCATCAGGTAGTTCTAACGATGCTTGACTCCATGGGTGAATGCAGCAAAGGCTGCATGTGGCTCTGTGTTAGCAATCTCAGACAGAGCTTGGATTTCACTAACCCACTCATTCACCTTTCCCGCTACGTACTCGGTCTTGAAGTCCGCAGTGCCAATTACTGCGCCTAGATGTCTTTGGCCGTCCTTAGTTATTTTGACCTCACTTCCGCCAAAAACCTCCAATGCCCGTTCATAATGTTCTGGCTTCACGATGAGGAAGGACTTGCTGGCGTTTGGGTGGTACCCTATTTGTGGACCTCACGATGTTACCAAGTCCCACCACTTTTTGATGCCCTCCACTTTTCCTGCTCCTGTAAGGTCATCAGCATATGCCACTTGTTTGACCCCAGTTGTTTCAAATTTTATTTCTTGTTGGAGCACTGATAGGCCAATTGCATACATTGCCATTGCAACAGGGTCCCCCTGTGTTGTTCCCTCGGTTGACTGTAAGATGGTATCACCTCTTAGAGCCTTCTTGTTTACTATGTAGAGGTCTGATGGATTCCTATACGAATTTTCAACATACATCGTAAAGCTTGGACACTTGATCTTGATGTTGTGCAGTGCAGCCTTGCGGTTAAGTATGTTGAATGCGTTTGAAGCATCCACCAGGAGAACGGCCTCACAATCACGCTGCTCAAATATCAATCTCATGGCGTGAATGGCCGCCTCCCCACCAGCCTGGTGGCCAGCACACACTTGTAGGTTCCCTGCTGCTGCCCTGACATCGTCCTTTACCACCTCCATTATGCACTTTCCGATAATCCGCCTCAGCACTTCCCCCACCCCTATAGGTCTACATCCTGGTTTCTTTTCCAGAGGAATAAGGCGGCAGGCCGTCAGGGCCTGGAGGTGATGGCAGCAAGAGGATGCAAGCTTTCTTGCAAGGGCGGCAATGGCAGTGCAGAGATCGCTTGCTACAGGGCCAAACTTGTTTGTGCTGAGGATGACTCTCCAACCGTTTGCATCCAGACCTGAAGGGTCGGCTCCTTCTCGAGTCTTCAGTGCCTTTTTCCACACCATCTCTCCTGTTATTTTCTCGAACAGGACAGCATTTGGTGGGATATAGTCACCCTGTAACCTGATGCCTTCATCTTCGCTTGCAGGGGGATGTTTCTCTTTCAATAGTTTTAATGTCTCTCTGTTTATTGGCATCACCCCACCGGAGGATTCCTGTGTGAGAGATCTTACCGCGAGAGACACTTTTCCCACACGCATTTTGTTTCCAAATTTTCTTGCCACGTCATCGGTGTTTTGCTTTCCATCACTACTACTACTACTATAATACTACTACTACTATACTACTACTATACTACCTACTATTACTATACTACTACTACTACTATACTATTACTACTATACTACTACTACTACTACTGCTGCTGCTACTACTACTATACTACTACACTACTACTATACTACTACACTGCTACTACTATACGACAACTACTACTATACTACTACTATACGTATTATACTTCTACTATACTTATTATACTTCTACTATACTACACGCACGTTGACGCGCGCGCTCACACACACACACACACACACACGCGTCATCCTTGACCACCGAAGGGTCAAGACGTACCTGGCCGTCCTCTGGGAGCAGCCAGGTCAACTGTTAAGTTGGCCCATACCAACTCCCTCCCCTGAACCTTTCTTCCCCACCTGAATATCAACAAGTTCTGCCAGAAGTTACTTTTTCATATAGGAAAGGAATGGAACCAGTGTTGAATAGTGGTGAACAGTGCTCAGGTCAGTAAATAACAACTCGACAGTAACTGTCGAGTCGTACCCAAGTTCACACAGTGAGGTCCCAGGTACCCAGTGATAACTGCCAGTGAGACTCGACAACACCAGCTATGTGTTAATCTCTCCACGATAGGGAGGCCTGAGACCATACCTCATTCACTTAAGTGAGTGAGGTCCTGTGACACCAGACCAAGTAGTGACCCCATGATGCTATGACACCACGCAGTGAATGAGTTGCTACAGCATCATGTGAGGGTCCTCATAACACCATCTGTGAGGGAATTACTACACCACGTGATGCCCCTCATAACACCATCTGTGAGGGAATTACTTCACCAAGTCAAGTCCCTCATAACACCACCTGTGAGGGAACTACTACACCACGTGATGCCCCTCATAACACCATCTGTAAGGGAGTTTCTACACTACGTGTCTACTGTTCATCACCTCAGGGCACATGATCTACGTGTCCCACTGTAAACATTAATCGGTATGTTCACTGTATGTTCCTTTACTTTTATCTAATGAAGGCTTTTGTTAAAGCACCAATGTATGTAGTAAGTCATTTATGTCCAATGTATATTTTCAGCCTTCGGGCTGCAGTACTTTTTCAATAAACCGTTAATTATTATTATTACACACACAAAGTGGAACATTATCATCCACGTTTAAAGTGGAGAAAACAGTGTTTGTCTTA